CAAACAGAACTGCCCGGTAAACCGTAGGCAGAGAGAGAGAAGAGGACAACAAACGAGGGGTTGTGACAAACTGTTTCGTCGGAGTTTCACCGACTCATCATATATATCGTCACAAACAGAACTGCCCGGTAAAACGTAGGCAGAGAGAGAGAAGAGGACAACAAACAAGGGGCTGTGACAAATTGGCTCGTCGGAGTTTCACTGACTCATTAGGAGGCTGAACCCTCAACAGTCTGCAGAATCCCCTCACTGATTACACTGTATATATATATACAGGGTTGCTGCCGTTCAGGACGGGCCTAACGCCCGAACCCGAACGCCCGAACGTTCGGCACCCCCTCTCGACGCATTCGGCCGTTTAACCGAAAGCGGACCCCCCCCCCCCCCCCCCCCCCAAAAAAAAAAAAAAACGATTTAAAAAAAAAATTGAAACAAATATATGTTATGCAGAAGAATAAGATAAACAACATTTGCCTCAATGTTACATCCAAATTCTTTACCAAACTTGAAATACAAATCAAATACTAAAAATAAATAATAATAATGAAAATTAGAAAAAATAAAACGAGAATGAAATTATTGAGTGGGCGAGCACATTTTTGACACCGCCACCTTTGGCGATTTTTCATTTTGTTTCGGTTGTCACAAATGCCATGAAAATTTATATATGTGGATCTTACATAATAGAGAATCTACAAATAAGATTGAAAAAAAAAATAATTTTTTTAATGTCACGAAATAAAGGAAAAACAAAAAGTGAAAAGAGAAAAAAAACAAATTAGTGAGTGGGCAAGCAAGCTTTGACACCACCATCTTTGCCAATTTTTCATTTTTTTGTTGATGAACAGAATGGCTTCAAAATAAAAATGGATATACCTCTCATTACAAAGAACTAAAAAAAAAAAAAATCAAAAAAACATAATAATATTTAGGTGCCAAAATATTTTTTTGCGGGGTCTGAACCCCTTCATGTTCGAGCCCCGTACGGGGACCCGAACGCTCGAACGTTCGGGGGTCAGCTTAGAGGCCTCCGTACGTTCGGCCTGGCAACCCTGTATATATATATATATATATCGTCAAATAGAATATATATATATATTATATATATATATATATATATATTTCCACTAAGTTTTCAATATCATGGAAGTTTGTCTCATCACGATTTTAAAGGATGTATATAATTTATATGTCGTTATTCATAAGTCATTTGTTATGCCATACCGTAACAGAAAAACTTGTGTTATATATATATTTTACATAACAACAAATTAAATCGTGTTCATTCAACTAACAATGTACCATCCCTATTGTCAAGAAAAATACTCATATACTTGTATAAAATAGATACATCAAGATTTTTTAGGGGCGATCGTCTACTGCACAAAAGACTCACTCGTGGACTGATAAATTTCTCAATATAAATTATCATTGTAAAAATATATATAACAAAGTTTCACCACCTCATAAAGGAACCCTCGCAAAATGCCTTATCGACAATAATATACGGTTACGAATATCGTAAAAGGTTGATTGGATACAACTCCCAATAACAATATTATATATTTTATCTTTATTTTAAACAATCTCAAATCTTTGCCACAATACATTCCTTGTGTGTATTGGTCAATTTTGGCTATGCACTTAGAAGATCTACTACAATGCATAATACGTATGATTATAAGACAAATTGAAACAAATACTATAATACATATATATATATATATTTGACGATATATATATATATATATATATATATATATATTTGAATTTTATGGATTAATATCATAGCAAACACTATTACTCCAAGTCGATGTCATTCCAACTCATAAACTTCCTTTATTTGCGAGTAATAGTAATAATGTTTACTTGTAAACAATCGATAAAACCTCATTTTCACTCGGTGTTTGGGTTGGAGGTAGAAGGTTTTCCCCTATCCTATTCTATTTTTGACGTGCCCAGAAAAATAAAAATTAAAGAATACATACGTCCATAGACCATGATGCTCATGGGTGTAGATAGTCACAAGGCAGGTGCATGCTAATGTGTTTGCTCGTTCTAGGTGGCCAACTGCAATTGCCATACATATTAGACCATGGATGTTTTCTTATAATTTGAACTGTCTCAGTTTGTGTGTGTCATCCGTGAGTAGGGGCCATACTCATCTTCTTTGCATCGCTCAAGAGGGGATGTCCCGCAGGTTTGGAATCCATGCATGGAGTAAATTCTTATGAGAATGTTTCGGTTTTTCGATATGGTCCACCCTCGATTTTGCGAAATAGAGAGTTGTGCATTGCCCCAATACACTCTCTGTCTTTTATGCCTAGAGTAAAACCGAGAGCGTTAGGAACAATCACCCAATCCTTTCGAACTTGAAAACTGGTATGTCAATGGGAGGTCGCCCAACACTCAACCACATCGATTTCTAGAGTCAACGTCTAGTAAGGACTAGCAACTAGTAGCAACTCTTTTTCATTTCTTGTCTTATTGCCCTTTCTCTTTTTGTCCTTTTGCACTCTCAGGAAATCAAGATGGTCTAGGAATGGACTGTGGTGGAGCAACAACGCATTTTTTCAAGTTGTAGGGCCTCTGACAATTCTTTGAGAAGTGGTGGAGCACGCCGCACACTGTGTAGTAACTGACCAACAAGGCACTTCGCAGAAGTCCTGTTTGTCAGAAAAGCCTGGGCGAAAACAAAAGGCTGCCGACACAGGTCAGCAGTTCTCAGAAAGGGCCAACTGGAACCCTCGGCTACAATTTTTCAACTGTTTACCAACAGGCTGTAGATAACCAAGATCGACGGCCAGGGAGCAGCATGATCGCCCCAGATGTAAAGATCCAGGGGCAGAAATCAGGATTACCTGGGGCCTCCCCCAATAAAGCTGCTCTGATAGGGGGGCCCTAGCTTATAGAGATTATAGAGATGGAAGAAAGCAGTACTATGGTCATGGCTTATGAAGATCGACAGCCAGGAAGCAGCAGCATCGCACGGTGGGGGCTCCCGGCCACGTGTTGTGGAGCACGAAAACACACGTCCGCGGTCGTCGTCCGGGATACGGAGCAACGCTGGCAGCCGCACCTGACCAAAATATGGTGAAAAAAATGCATCTGACCAAAATATGATGAAAAAAACGGTCAGGGGAAAAGTGAGGATCCGACGATTGGTGTTTAACTGACAGATAATCGCTCGCGACAAAGCTTCGGCGCCATCAGGATGTAGGAGGGAGGGGGAGCAGATGTGAATGCGAAATAGGGCCTGTCCGCACCACTTCACCAAATGCACAAAAGACAAAAGTTATGGCGGTGCATCTTTCCATGCTCTGCGGATAAGTTCATTCTCATTTTGCACGTTTGGTGAGTGGTCCGGCGAGGCCCCTAGTTTCAAAAATTTTCCATTTTTCTTGTTTCACACGTACCGAGGTCTTTTTTCAAATTTTCCTCTTTCACACGTACCGAGGTATCGTTTCGTTCTTTTGTCGAATTTGGCAGGTGAGCGATTTGGAGGACGGGATGTCAATGTCGATCAATGTCTACACCTGATCTCTCTCTCTCTCTCTCTCTCTCTCTCTTTCTCTCTTCCCCCTGACAAATCGATGTCAGCAGAAGGGCGTTTGTCCTGATCCAAAACCATCTGGTAATCCTCTTCACCCGGTAATTAGGGGAAATAAGAGGCAGAAGCATAATCGACCTCCTTTGGCGATGCGCCCGCCGCGCGGGCAGTTCGCTGATCTGTTTCTAGTCCAGTTTCTGGTCCGGTTCTGAACCGGTTCGAGTTGTCGCTTTGTTACGAGTAGGCCTCGAGTGCCTGAGCAATCATCAGTCAACCAGCTCGTGCCACGTGTCGCTGGTGGTCCATCCATGTCGAGAGGAGGACAGCACCAGTGGTTGAACCGTCAATCTCGATTACCGACTGGCCCGCCTGGTCAGCTCGGTGGCCGGCCTCGTCATTCGCCGCCGCCATAGCTGGCGATCGTGCCCGGTGACGTCAGACACGACGTGTGTAGCTGACACGTGTCTGTAGTAGAGCAACAGCTGTCATACAGTAAGATAGGACAGGTGGAGTGACAGAAGAGAGACCCTACCCACCTTCTATTCCCCTTCTTGAGCATGAGAACACGTGGCACTGAGGATACGTGTACGCACAGGGATGAAGGTGATTACATGTCAGCCGTCACCATCGTCCGGTCTACCTTCTTTGTGCAGTAGGCGGCGGTGATGAGGGACCGTAGGGGATGGAGAGAGAGAGAGAATAGTAGATGGCGGGAAAAGTGGGATGAGCTAACGACGAACTGATTGGGGAGCGCAGTGTTTACTGACAACGGGTAGTAATCAACATGGGCTGGGTGAATTCGATATGTCTGGGAGGAGGAGGTGGTGGAGATGGGGGAGGAGGCCTGATGTCGGTGGTCCCGGCGCCGCCAACACCGACGAGCTGTCGCCTTTGCGGCGCTGGGATCATCGATCAACGCTCCCGCCCATCGGTTCGCCGTCTTTGCGGATCGCTGACCAGCCGCCATAGCTCGATCTCGTCGTCTTGCTCATGGATCTCGCCAACCCTGCTCTCGATTAAACACGTGGACAAGAGGAAGAGCTGTTCTGCGAGGAGCTGTAGTGCGCCGCCGGGTGGAGCTTTCATTAACCGGCTCTCCTTGATTGATGGGGCCTTGCTGGAATGGCCGTTGATCGATAGGGAAGGGAGTTTTGGCGGGAAATGGGGTTTTGGTGGGAAAAGTGTTCACATCCCGAAGAGGATAACTCCTGTCCAAACTGGCGGCAAAAAGTGCCGATGTGGCTTCTTCGACTGTCTGTTATTTGACTGTCCCTCCCCCTCGCCGTCCCTTCTTTCCTCCTCCTCCTCCTCCTCCTCCTCCTCCGCTTCGTCGTCCTCTTGGATGTCCTCGCAGTTCCGGCCACCATCGCGTCGTCTGTGCTTTCTTCTCGCTCGCCATAGCCGACAACGCAGTCTGATAGGGTCATCGTCGTCTTGCAGATCGGGGTCGGGGCCTTGCCTCTCTCGAAGACGAGGCTGGATTTCGAATGAAGCGATTCGCGCGGGAATCCGTCCGTCGGGACTGCCGATGGAGGATGGGCGCCGAACTGCTGCCAGTCTCGTTCGTGCCGCGATCCCGACGTCGAGGGCAGGTGGCGGGGTCGAGGTCGGGGCCGGGCTCGCCGACCTCTGCTCTTTGAGTTGCCGGCTTGGCAAGTCGCTTCGTCCGGACTCAGCTAGGGCAGCAAGACGACAAGGGCGATCGCGACTTAGCCACGTGGCAGCAATCTGTGCCAGCGAGGCGGCTCAGCTGGCGGGAACGGCGATGGGGATAAGATTGGAAGAGGGGTATGCGGCGAGCGACAATCTAGTGGAACATCAGGGGGGCATCGATCCATTGGCAGCAGAACCTACAAGAGGACAGCAGGAGGAGGAGGACGAGGAGGAGGAGGAGGAGGAGGAGGAGGAGGAGGAGGAGGAGGAAGAAGAGAGTTGGGAACGCAATCATGATGGCAATGGCGATTCTTCATCTAGGAAGACGAAGGTGATGAGAAGAAGCTTGGACGGAGGAAACGGCGATGGTGAAGGTTGGAGGATAAAGGCTGGTAATGCTGCTGGCTATGGCGTTGATGACCGCACCATAGATGCAATGAACAGGGAAGAAGAAGAGCACGAAGAGCGAGAAGGAAACGAAGGAGGAAAAGACGAAGAAGATGATGACGAAGGAGAAGAAGGAGAAGACGGAGAAGAAGATGAAAGCGAAGAGGAAAGGAAGGAGAGACTCGCTAAGCGGTTCGAGAGGGTAGCCGACAGATATGGCAATCCGGAGGAACAAGAAAAGGAGATACGTAGACGTCAACGAATAAGCCAAGCGAATAGAGGACGGCGGCCTTGGAACAAAGGAAGGACTCATTCTGAAGGTGAGCTCATCGTCTTTTTTTTTTTTTTTTTTTTTTTGTCCAAAGGACGACAGCTTTGAGATATCACCATCGAACGGACTGGCCCCAGGTGATTCAGAATTATTGTATGTCACTCGTCTGGATTTGAACTCAGGTCTGTATATGAACAGTTCATGGGTTTACCAACTCCAACTGAGCTAGGTCCGTCGGTCATCAGCACGTTTCTTGTGACAGTCATCACTGGTGACGATTGGACTGCTTTTCTTTTTTTTTCTTTTTTTTGGGGGGGGAGGAGGGCTGGGGGGGGAAGTGGAGGGGGGCAGACGGGGGATGAATCAGATTGATATTTGGGGGTCGAATCGGTATAATTTTGGTATAATAAGGGCATACTCGCACTCGGGATTTCCTACATGTACCTGACCGGAATTTCACCTTGACCTCTTGGGATGCATCTGACCGCAATTGCGTCCAGCACTAATAGGATTATAATTGGCTAGTCTAATATAATAATTATCATAAAGTAGAAATTAAAATAGGGGAAAAAATCAAATTTAGAAATCGGTTTAATTTTGTTAAAAGAAAAAGGTAGTTTTTAAAACTTTTTTATTGTATATAATAATATAGTATAACCATACTAAGTATGAATAACCATACGGTGCTGAAATAAAAAATCAACTTAAGAAGAAAAAAAACAATTAAGTGGAAAAAAAAATCGCATCACGATTCAGGTCTGAATTTGGACCAGTGTATTTTGAAATCTGAAAACCTTTCCAGTTGAGTTGAATGTGGTCATATCCCTGAATTTCTCTACTCCTAATCATTTTAGAGTCTTGTCGGATCCCCTAATGAAATTATTTTATCTTATTATTTTATTATTTTATTATTTATTTTAAGGTGATATCATCTTTTTAGTCAAGTTTAATAATATTTGATCGTAGAAATCCATGCTGCTATGTGATCTGAAATATCGTCTAGAATTGACAATATTTACACGCCTTTTCTTTTTTTTTTTGGTTAAGAAATAATCAAGTTAGTTTTACGGGACCGGGGCCCAAGGCAATGCAGTGTACAAAATAGGTATTTTATTTTAGGAAAACTAAAAAATTCAGGGGTCTGCAATATCTCTAGCCTTCCACCTCAGGCTGAGTCCCGCCCCTTTATTAAGGGAAAACACAGAAACAATTAAAAAAATAAAAAAATCTGTAACCTATGCTTGTTAGTCGAAACGTCAGCAATTTTTTTTTTTTTTTTTGAAACGTAAGTAATCTAAAAAAGGAAATCTGTATTTACCTAGGGAAAAAAACCACCACCTAAACCACCATCTGCTCTTAAGAAAAAAAAAGCGGTCTACTTCTCCCACTTCTGTAAGTGTTGAATTCCTATTTCAAATTTGAAATTGAAATTCGAACTTTCAAAATTTGAATTTCCAAATTCGAATTAGCAATTACAGATTCTGTTGGATATGATTGTAGTCAGCATTCCCCTCCCCCCCCCCACCAGCACCGCCCTTGTTTTTTCCCCCAGTTTTTTTCTGTTTTTAATCACTTGAAATTTTAAAGATATTATGTTATATAACAAATATATAATGTATAATATTGTAAATATACTTATGGGATCTCTGGTAAAACTGGAGGATTTGAGGCTCGAAGTGAATGGCAGTCGATTTTTATTTTTTTTTGGGATAAATCTCTTTTGTGTTTAAGATTGAGAAGTCAATCTTCTCTAGACCAGTTCCATGAAGCTAGGGGAGAAAATCCTGTTCCCTTCCTATCCTCCCCCCCCCCCTTCTTGTTTCGGAGGTTCTCCCCCTCTCCTTTGACGGTTTTGGCGGGGGGTGTAAACTGAAAAGGTTTTTCTGACTTAGTCATCATATCCCAAAGAGAGTAGTTTCAGTTTCAGTGGGCTTGAACCGTTGAGGTGTGGACCTGAAGCCATATAATTATAATATAATTAATTGTATGATAATTAAATATATTAATTAATAATTATGGTATAATTAATTATATGATAATTAGTTTTATTTATATTAATTAAAATTATCTACGCAAGTACGATTGAGACGACAGACATGACGGATTTTATTTGTATGATTTCTTAAATGATAGATTTGTTGTCGGAAGCACCAGCGTAACATGAAAAAAAAACAAACAAACAGGAAAACGAAAATAAAATGGGAGAGTAAACACACATCCCCTAGTTGCCATCCTGAACCCAGAGAAACCCCCTCCCATAGACACCCAGATAAAAGCCTTGATGCTTCACAATAAACAATAAATAAATGGATAATGTCGGATATACGCTTATTATTATTATTATATATTATTATTATTATTATTTATTATATATATATTATTATATATTATTATGTATTATTATATTTATTTATTATTATTATTATATTTATTTATTATTATTATTATTATTTTTGTTTTTTCGCTTTTGCTCCGACGCAGTTTCTTGAGAGGCTCGGGAGGCTCCGGATAGTGTCCACCCTCTGACCTGGCTACAGAAACTATTCAGGGAATCCCTTCCAAGAAAGCCGGAGGGGGAGAGAGAGAGAGAGAGAGAGAGAGAGAGAGAGGGAAAAAAACGAGAAGAAAAGTTCAGAATTGAAAAGAACAAAAGGAAAAGAATTTGTCCAAAGAGACCGGTTTTGGTTGACAGTTACTGAAAATCTGTAGACGACTCACTTTTTGGTCTGAATACGGATACACACACACACACCCAAATGGATGTGATGGGGGATTGGATGATGAGCCAGCCCCTCTTTAGGAACATCTGAAGGATATATACCCCCTGAACAAAATGGTCAATGCTTCCCACCCCATACACCCTCCTCTTCCCCCCCCCCCCCCCCCCCGCCCCGAAAAAAAAAAGAAAAGAAAATGGAATGCACGGGTCAAGAGTGGTATACATAATGAGAAATTGAGAATAAGAAAAGATATCAGCGGGAAAAAAAAAGAGCAAGCGATGGAAACCACCGACCAACGCAGAACCCTCCCTTGCGCTATTGATGCATCTATCCCTCTAAGGTGGACACTGAGTTTTGAGAAAAAGACCAGATACAGACAGCTCTGCTGTCAGAATGGAACGGAGTAATAGACAAGTGCAGGAATCAGGAAGATGAACAGAAAAGGAAAAAAATAATGCAAGCGTTACGAGGGGGGGG